AACTCTTAGTGATTTATGATGAGTGACGCAGTTAAATTACATCAAGTTTTCTTTGTTAAACCCTCATGTCCTCCATTCCTCACCTCCTCTCCTCTGATCACAGCATCCTGCACACAGCTGATCCACAGTAGTGTTAACCCCTGTCATGTATCATAAGTGTCTCATGTTCAGCTGTCTGTCCTACAGTGGAAGTTGATCTGCTCCTTGTGTGTCTCTGCTCTCCCCTCCAGCTGGCACCATGGTCAGGCCCTCAGTCTCTCTGCTCCCCCCCTCCTCTGAGCAGCTCTCTGGGGGCTCGGCCACGCTGGCTTGCCTGCTGACTGGCTACTCTCCTCAGGGAGCTGTGGTGAGCTGGGAGGTGGACGGTACAGAGGTGACAGAGGGAGTCCTGACCAGCTCAGAGGAGGAGAAGAGCGGACGCTATAGCAGCAGCAGCACCCTGAGCCTGAGCAAGGAGCGCTGGATGGGAGGAGAGCTGTACTCCTGCAAGGTCCTCCATCATGACCACAGCCAGACACAGTCCCTCCACAGGAGCCAGTGTAAGGGTTAGAGGGGCGGGCTGAAGCCCAGGACAGGAGCTCTGTGTGTGGGGAGCAGGAGGAACACACCTGCTGCTCTGATCAATATGACTTTTACTGTTTGTAGAGGAAACTAAAGCTTTGTGTGACAGAGAACAACACTGCTGTAAAGTGTTGGACAACAACAACTTAGAGAGTAATGTGTGTAGCTCAGCAGCTAGATGTGAGTGTGCTTAATAACTGTCATGTTGTTTTTGCTAATAAAGCTTGCACTGATAAAAATCTTTATGAAATGTTTGGTCTTTTATCTTAGAAAGAAAGAATTAAATGGTTTTCTGACTTTAATTGGTAATAGTGATATTTTATGGTCGACAAGATGATGAAAGAACACGTGTTTTATTGAAGATAAAAGACACAGACATACTTACATACATTTTAGCAAGGCAAAACGTCATTACTCACGTGTCATAAGGCCTTAAACGTCTCCAGCAGAGAGTAAATGTTAACAGAAAATGTGGTGTCATTAGATTTTTGAGAATATTTTGATAAATTCAATTATTTGTATGAATATGTAGTTTACATTTTAAATTTAATGGACAGAAATGAGAGTGGTATTGATCAGCAAAAAAAGTTTCTGAAAAAGAATGTATTTTTTAAATAATCTGCTACATGTTGGCTTTCAAAGCTATATGTTTTTTCACAAGTGCTATTGAAAATTGTCTAGTATTTATGCTAAGATAAGCTACCCGGCTGCTAACTGTAGCTTTATATTTAATGGACAGGTATGAGAGTGGTACTGGTCTGCAAGAAAGCAAATAAGTGTAATAAGTAATCTAAAATGTTTAATGTATTTATGTAATGTATACAAAACATGTTAATGAATATTTGGGTTTCTAAGTTTAATGGGTTTTATTTTATAAATTCTGCGGACGTTAGACGTTAGATATCATAGTTTCATTTTATCATGTGGAAAGAATATAAAAATTATGAAATAGGCCATTATGTTAGTGTAAATCTGTAGTTTGTGCTTGGTGAGGTTACTGTCAGCTCTGTGTTCAGTGGTCTGTGTCAGAATCTCTTCCTCTTCAGCAGCTGCAGTCGGTTCCTGCTGTAACAGCTCAGTGTCTCTGCAGTCTGACTGAGGGAGGTTTTTGTATGACTACAAATCACTGTGTGAACACCCAAGCGTTGTTTATGTAATCGTATCTTTGACAGTAATAAACTGCTGCATCTTCAGCCTGAACTTCACTGATGGTCATCACAGCGTTCACTCCGTCTCCTTTGCCAGAGAATCTGGAAGAAAACTCACTAGTAGTATTTTTACCCACTTTGATGACCAACTTGGGAGCTTCTCCAGATTTCTGCTGAAACCAGTGCATTCTACTAGTTCCATCTGACCATGTCTTAACTTTTGGGTTGGTTTTACAAGTCAGAGTGACTGTAAATTCAGGAGAAGATGTTACTACTGCTGGTTGAGTGACAGTCAGTTCACTACTAGATCCTGAAAAAGAAGGGAAACACTGAACATTAATTGAGTCATATTAACATGTACACATGTGTTAAATCCTGCATGTATGTGAATGATTTTAGTGATCTAATTAGTTTCTAATTTTATGTTAAAAATGATCCTGACCTTTGAGGCAGCAGCAGGCCAGCATAAAGATGAGGATGGTGATGAGAGTCATGGTGGTTGTAGTTTCTGCTGTGTTGACTGACAGATCTGAGTCCTGCAGTGTTGAACTCACAGGACTATAAACCTTCTCAGTTCACTGTAGGATCAGCTGACGATGCAAAACCTCCTCTCTATGGAAATGATTTCTCTGTTCTCAACAGACTGAAGGATTTACACATCTTTAATCTTAATAGAACAGAAGAAAATATTTATATTAGAAGTGCAGTCAAAGGTTCAAGGAACTGTTTGTCTGCCTTTAATTTACTTACAGTGTTTACTGTATTTAAATAGTAAGTATTTGTATAGCTATCTAGACATCTGGAGCCAGTCCCAGCTGACATCGGGCGAAAGGCGGGGTACACCCTGGACAGGTTGCCAGTCCATCGCAGGGCCAGACAGACAACCACTCACACTCACATCCACACCTAAGGACAATTTTGTAGACACCAATTAACCTAGCCTGCATGTCTTTGGACGGTGGGAGGAAGGCGGAGCACCCTAAAAATGACTTTGTAAATTAGTATTATGTAAAAGCATCATTTACATTTAATATATATCAACTGATTTGAAACTATAAAAACAATGACTTTGTTTCAAGCAGACGATAATTGTTTGTCATGTGTAGAAACGTATATAAAATCCTCACTCATTTTTTGATTCCAGTAGGTATAGTCCAAGAACAATTTAACTTTCCCAGCTAAATCAAATAGAGATTTAATAAACTGACAAGATAATTAGTCTAAAACTGTTTATGGAAGATTGTCGCCAACACTAACAGACTTGGATTTGTCTGTCCGAGTCAGAAAATTGTTGATTGCAGATTTGCACCTAATATTTTCTAAACTTCTCAACCTGACTCAGATGTCCAACTTGCAGTTTTCAGTGTGTGTGTATGAAAACAGTTCAGACTCTCTGTGACATAAGAACTCTGAGGAGCAGTGATGTATAAAAGTCAAGCTAAATACATTTAAGAAGGCAAACACACATCTATTCTTGTGAAACAGAAAAGGCAGAGATGAGGTGAGGTGACAGTTCATCATCAAGAACATTGGGTTATTTAAAGCCCACCTAAAAACTTATTTCTCTTGTTTCAAACGTTTCTCCTTTGTTAACATTGGTCTTAATCAGCATCTCATCAATAGGTGCTCCCTGCTGTCAAATGGATTCACATTGAACACAATAAGTGACTGATAAGTGAGTGACTTTTATTTCCCTCCTTGTTTTCATAATTGATCAAATAGATCCAGGTGCTACATTTATTTGGATAATTCAATACTGACAGCCATAAGTACAGTAACAGAGATGCAGGGATATAAATCGATCCTACACAGTATACTTGAACGTCAGCATTCATTTCTGACCCGAGCTGCCTTTTGTTTTTCTTAGTGAGGAAGACTGTGTGCATAATTTAACCTGGAGCTGTAAAAGGGAACAAACCCTGAGTGTCAGGGACATGAAAATCTGAGTTTCACTTCCCTTTTGACTGGGGATGAAATTACAGAAGTTACCGTAGGTTGTGGCCCTGCTTTGCATGACTGTGCTATGTTCTGGTGAGCAGTGGTGCATATCAGAATATTCTGGAACAGGTCACAGCTGCCGTGCAGCAATCTGTACACAGTCTAATTTGATGGAGGTTTTTGTACGACTCTTTTTCACTGTGTGCGCAGGCCCACATACGCTCCCATACAGTAGTAATCTCCTGCATCTTCTGCCTGGACTCCACTGATTTTCAGAGTGAATTCAGGTTCAGAGCCACTGCTGCTGAAACGACTCGGAGTACCAGATTAACATCTACTTATTTTTTTAAACAGCAGTTTGGGAGGCTGTCCAGGTTTCTGCAGGTACCAATTGAGATCATCATCAACTCCGTTGCTGGCTGTACAGCTCAGAGAGACCGTCTGTCCCAGACCTACAGACTTTGATAGAGGAGACTGACTGACAGTTGGATTGGCTGTCGATCCTGCAAAAACATAAAACATTACTACTGCATGTAATATATTATATAAAGAACAATTCCAATGTAAAAATGTAACTAACTCTGTATCAGTTGTAGAAAGTTTAGTTAGTGCACTCTGTATAGAGTCAAATCTATCAAAGCAGTATGTTACCCTGAAAGAGGGCTGCCAGTATTAGAAGGAAAACCAGCACCATCTTCAGTATGGATGTATGTCTGTGAGAAAAAACTAAAATTATGTGTTCTTGGCACAAGACTTGCCGCCTTAAAAACATCTGGTGTGCAAGAAAGCACAACCGATATTCAAATTATAATGTCTGGGTGAAGGCTTGTGAGAGCTGTCTGTTCCTGTCACATGAAGATGAATACTGCTCTCTAGTGTCAAAACAGGAGAATGTAAATTAATTTGAATCATTTTCATCATCACGGATGGATTTGGAGATGGCCCCCCACCTCTCCTTTGTATGAGAAAGATCCTTAAACTGTTCGTAGTTGTATCTCTTTGTAATTGTTTTCAATATCCTGTAGATCTTTTGTTTCTAAAGATGTTGTGTGTCTGTTTGTTTTGCATCTCTTTATGGTTATTTTGTAACTTCATGTTGTGTCTCTGTGGTCTGTTTGTGGTTGTTTTGTCTCTCTTCATATTTGTCTTTGTGGTTGTTTTGTCTCTCTGTAGTAATTTTGTTGTCATTCTGCATCTCTGTAGTTACTTTTTGTCTCTTTATGGTCATTTTGTATATCTGTGCTAGTTTGACTGAGCTTCCAACAAGAACCTTTAACAGTCACTTTGAACAGAAGATCTGGCCACAGGGCCCCCTGACCAGTATGGAGGTTCAGTGATCCAGACACAAACCACTTAAGGTCCACCTTTAATAATAATTTACATGCAGTATGAATTTTATTCAATTGCAGAAATTGTTGGTATCATGATGTACAACAACACATTTAACACTTCAATCGTTCATATTACACATACAACTGGAATGTGTGTTCTTGTCAAAAGCCACAAAACAGTGTTTTCCAGCCCGTTAACAGTATCTGAAAGTCCTCTGTATTTATGTAACCCTGTTGGGTACCATTTAAGTGGGTTTAAGGCACATTTACAAATGGCTTTTAAATGCTTTTCAGTGATTGTCTAAACTTGCTGTAAAATTACATATAAACCAATCTCATTTGGTACTCCAAGCAGGTTAAAAAAAAACAAATAATTGTTTTCAAATACTGCTTGACTCAGGTCTGGCTGGAGTGTCCAGGCTTATCAATACATTTCATGGTTGGGAGTTCATACTTGCACAGTTCAGGGAACTGAGGATGAATTGGTACAAAAAAGCAAGTTGAAAACACAAATGTATCTTCTGTTGTGTTAGTTACAAATATAAAACAATGATATACATACTTTGAAAAAGCTGTTAAAAAACACAGGACATCACCAATACATAATATACATAAAATATGCAGTCTTCCTCCAGTTCAACACATTTAGACAATTTCATACAGTATTTCTGTTGTACTTGCACCAACACACTGACAGTAGAAAGAATAAGAAAGAAGAAACATTGTGATAGAAATGTATGAGATGTAGCCAAACTGAAACGTGCCACACAGGTTTTACCTGACGACTGGCAGTGACACGTTGATATCAGGCGCAGGTAAAAACTAAGACAAACAATAAGATTTTTTTGACTATTTTTTTGACACAATTCGAAAATCATGGCCCATCTGTAGAAAACATCAGAGTGTTCAGATGGGTTTGCATAGTTTGTAGAAGAGCGTGCACTGAGAGTTTCACAGCAGAGGTGTATGAAATCTGAGATAGTGTGTTTTGGTGCCTGGTAACACCCTGAACTGCCACCAGGGGGTTGAAACCCTTAACAGAAATTTCATTTACATAAACAGAGTGAAAACAAGCTTAAATCCCATTTCTTTTATTGAAATGGTTGACTTTTCTGTGAGATACAGGGTCAAAAAAGGACACTGGTATGGCTTTTCCACTGCACAAACACTGCAATGTCTCATGCTGGGCCACAGTACAGCACAGTATCAGTACACTTGAGTTTTCCACGCACATGTGTACCCATAGCTACAGCAACCACAGATACCAGTTCCAAAGGTTAGGGTCTCTCCACACACCAAAACTTTAGATTCCTCACGATCTTCATGTCTCACAACAAGTTTGCTTATTAATCAGATATTTGAGCTCTAAAAGTAGTTTTTTAATTGATAAAATTAAAAAAAAATATGGGCTGGCAAGTTGATAAAGATCCAATCAGCTCAACAACAAATCCAAACAATCCAGTAAGACCAGGGGTGATGGTTTGCACAACTTGCTACAAACAAACTTATCTTGTGAATATCTTCAACCAGTGAGTAAGTTAATTCATTAAACATGATGTCATTCATATCAACAGGTTAAGCTTTCTCTTCGTTTAGGCGTTAATTTCTTCAGCTTGCAGCAGCTTTTTGAGCTGGTTTTAAGAAGAGACTCTCAGGCTGGAACCTTCAGCGCATTTTAGGAACACTGTTAAAAAACCTGTGTGAATATGGCCCTTGGTGTGCAAAGAGTCTTGAACCTTTGCAACAGTGATCCCGCATTCCTATGGCTGCAACAACTAGAAAACATTATGGCTGTATGCGGCTTTAGAACAAGGCACAATGGTAAGACACATCTGGCATCAGTAGAGAAACACTGGGAGGAGTAGAGAGGCATTTTGTGACCCTTGGAAAAAAACACAAACACTAGCAGGTTGTTGATGGTCATCATACATAGACCAGTGGAAGATGCTGGCTGATTTGGCTGTCATTGGAGTCAGCTCTTATAGTCTTTAGAGACTGGGATTTAGCGGTTGCTCTTCATGGCCTCCTTGGCTGCCAGGATGAGTGGGGTGAGGCTGGACAGAGGCTTGGCCAGCTTCAGGAATGGGTGCTACAGACAGACAGACAAAGAAGTGCACACAGGAAATATAATAAGATGAGGAATGAAGAAGACCTTCACTTACTTACGAACACAAATGTCAAACATTTCCTGGTTCCAGCTTCTTGGCTCTAAGTAATCGTAATGGCCCTTTTCACAATTTTCTGACATTTCTTTAGACAAATAAATTAACTGATTAATTGATAATAAAATAATACTTCCAGCCTTAAAGTGTGGGATGTTTTTGAGAGGGATATATTGAGGAACGAGTGTGTAATCCTCTTCTACCTGCAGCAGTTCTTTGCCAGAACCTCGTTTCTCCACATCCATCTCCAGACAGCGGGACAGGAAGGATCTGAAGACAGGAGACAGCTTCTCTGGACTCTGCAGCTCAGGAGTCCCATTGGTGGCAATTAAATACAACGCCTAAGACCAGCACAAAAGCATATAAGAAAAGCAGTCTAATGTAATTTTGAAGCATTTCAACATGAATTCATTCCTTCACAGTGCTGGTCTTTAGTAGTAAACTCTTGCTTCTAACATCGGACAGATAAAATATTGCAAATAAAAACATTTTTAGACCTTTTGTTAATAATAATGTTCAAATATGATAATGTGGAAGCAGAGACCGTAATAGAAAAAAAACCCCTAAACTGTCCACTCTAGTTTGTGGTCACTGTTGTGCTTTTATTTAATAATATGATCTAAATGCTGGTTTACCTTTGGAAGTAAAGAAATAGTTTGACATTTCGGGAAATACATTTTTTTGCTTTCTGGCAGAGAGTTAGATTAGACAATCAATACCACTGTCATATCTGTCTGTTAAATATGAAGTTAGAGCCAACAGCCAGTTAGCTTAGCTTAGCGCAACAACTGCAAACAGGGTAAATCAGCTAGCCTGGTCTATGGTAACCACCTACCAGCACCTAAAACTCACTAACTAGCTTTATATAATTAGTAAAGCAAAAATGACTAAATTCACTGGTTGCAGCATCTCTAATTTGAAGAGTTTCTGCTTTTATCTGTTTTATATTTTTTCAAACTAAATGTGTTTGGGGTTTGGACTGTTGGTCAGATGTCACCTTGGGCTCCAGAAAACACTGATTTTTCACAATTTTCTTGCATTTCATAAACTTTCTCCCGGCACGCACTCACCCTGAGAGGGTTCTCGTTGAGATATGGAGGCTCTCCCTCCACCATCTCTATGGCCATGATCCCCAAAGACCAAATGTCCACTTTGGGTCCGTAGGCTTTCCTGGTCACCACCTCTGGAGCCATCCAGTACGGGGTCCCCACCATGGTGCTGCGTTTGCTCTGCTCTGGGGTGATCTGGGCACAGAAGCCGAAGTCAGCTGCAAAGAGAGAAAGAAATATCTGGTTAGATTGATTTATTCAAAGCCCTTCCCACAGTTAAGATCAAAAGTACATGTGCAAATTAAAAAACAGTGTGCCATTCTGTCAGATATGTACAATATGTGTCTGTGGATCTGTGCATGTTTGCGTGAGCTCTCCCTCACTGAGTTTGACTGATCCGTCCATCCCGAGCAATACATTGTCACTCTTGATGTCTCTGTGGATGACCTGGTTGGCATGAAGAAACTCCAGAGCCTGGATGACCTGGATGCAGAAAGGGAGGATGGTTAGGATACCCAAAAGTTTATGCACACAAGGATTAAAGACAAATATAAAACATTAGATAAACATACAATTTTTTGTTTTGTTTGAATAAATACAAAGAGGTGAGAGAGTCGTGTGCGGAGAGGTAATTTCGTGACATTTGTTCATAATAATAAAAAAGCTAATTAACACTAGTGTTATCCTTTAAAAGCCTGCAAATGCTGCAGATCAGCTTGCTAGACGCTAATTGGCTACCCCGACAATAAATCACTCATGGATGGTTATTCAGGTTTACTACCTAATGGCTACAAGATGTAACATTAGCCAGCGAAAGCAAATAACAGTTCAGGGTCTGTTTTTATCAAGCATCACGTCTCAAAACTAAAGGTGACCGTCCATTCCAGGTGGTGGCACCGACACTGTGGAATGATCATCCGTCACACCTGCACTCTGGGGTCTCAGTCGAAGCATTTTAAAATCAGCTGAAAACTCATCTAAGCAGGCCTTTGTCTCCCAGTTAACTTTTAAATGTGAATATTCATGTGCTCTTTCAAATACAAAAATGGTATGATGCTTATGTATGATTGTTTGATTGCTCCACTGTTTTATTGTTGCTATTTTTTAATATTGTAAAGCACCTTGTGACTTGCTCTGTGAAAGGTGCTATCTCAGAATCACACTGAACATTTCTTTTTTTTTCCTCCAAGTGGGTCCCCGTTGGTTGTCTCGTGCATGATCAAGGTCAGTCACAAAATTTATGTTGTTGTTTCCCAAAACAGTATCTTTTAAGAACCTCATTGTGATCAATCATCATCCTCCCACGGTATGTATGCACATAACACTGCTATCTCCTGGCAATTCCTAACAGGTTAGCACACCTCTGGAGCTCTCCTAAATATTGGCTGAGATAGGACTTATTTCCAAAGTTAAGAAAGTCAATAAAATGCTTTTACTCCTACTACTAAAAGTAGAATAAAAAATGCACCACTCTAAAAATTGTTGGCCAGGTTAGATAAGTTACCTACTCTGAGACAATTGACAAATACAGGACCTGGTCAATAAATGACATGAGGGGAGCTCAGTTGTCTGAATAGAATCCTACCTCTCTGCAGACGGCAGCAATCTGGGCCTCGTCCATGCACGTCTCTGTCACAACATCAGTTAGGGAGCCACCAGCCAGGTACTCCATCACCACGAAAAGCTCATCTCCTACGAGGAAACTAAAAACACACACAAACACAGTCACATCCACAAAACAGTCAACTTACATTTGCTACTGATGTACGGACGTATACTGTATGTTTGTCTGTACAGTATGTGTTAGGTCAGTGTTACCTATCTACAAAGTTGACAATGTTGGGGTTCTTCATCTCCTTCATGACCAGGATCTCATTGATAATTAACTCCTTCTTTGGCTGCTTCTGCAAGTTGATCTGTTTGATGGCCACCTGCAGAACACAACATCCTGTAAATGTGGTACCACCGGTGCATGCAATCTACCTGACCAATTGCAAGGCACAATCTCAGAATTTGTAGTTCAGTCCAACCTCTTCTTCAAGTTGAGGGGACACTGACATGTTTTTTTTTGGTGGCAGAGGCACAAGATGAAGTAACCTTACCTCTTGCCCTGTGGCAACATCTATGGCTGTGTAAACTGTGCCAGATGCCCTGGAAGTGAAAAACAGTAAGAGATAAAATTAAAGACTTTTCCTTATTTTTTGCCTAAGATTATTTTTACGTTGCCCATACTACACTATTCAGGGTTGGTTTACCTTCCTCTTTTGATCAGTTTGGACCAGCCACCTTTTACACAGACTCCTTAAAATTCCTGCCAATTTTCAATGTTTACACTGTCCTAAATTCTGACTCACCCTTGGCCGATCTTCTCGTAGCGAGTGTACTTCTTCTTAGGATCTCCAATACTGACAATAGTTCCTAGGAGTTACAAAAAAAATTGTTAAGTCAGCTGTACAGACTGGAGCCAAGAATAGATGTGGCTTTGCCTGCAATGTGTCATTTCCAGTGTGTTTGACATACTGAGTTTCTCCATTATCTCTTCATCAGTCATCTTGCCTCCCTTCTTCTTCTGTTTGTCAGCTGCCTTAGAGGCGGAGTCTACATCTGGAGCTGGGAGTGGGTCTATCACCGACCTCGTGTACATCTGACAACACAGGAAAGAAAACTTTCAGGAATACTGACCATGGGTGATCTTGCCCTTTGTATTTTTAGCTGCTTTTAATTTTTGCTGACTAGATCTTCAGTTTAGTAACTCTGGGTAACAGTATCAACTAAATGCCTAAAAATAACAATATGGTCTACGGTGCCGTTTTCCTGTGTTAAATAAAATTTTTTATAAAAATCACAATCTTTTGATCTTGACTCACAGATTTTGTGTGTTCTGGCCGTGGTGCCACAATCGGAGGTGGTGTTTCGTCGTCATCATCATCATCTCCATCCTTGCTACCTGATGGGGAGGTCACTGTACCCTGCTTGCCTAGCTGCAACAGCAAACATACGAAGGTTAAACAGAATGACAGTCATGTGTTGCTTAATGTATTCAATGTAATGCTATCAATGAGGGTGTAAAGGTTGAACGGAACTACTCACCGACTGTGAGTCTTTATCTGAAAGAGATAAAGTGTAAGGACAGACGAGTGAGTCATGCGCAGGTACAACATTGGACTTTAATTGATCTGTTGAGCAAAAGAAAACTGACCTGAGGCGGAAAAACTGAGGTATTTCTGTTTTCCACTGGTGGAGTCGTAGAACTTGAGAATATCGAGGACGGCCTGAGGATTCTGTTTCTGTTCTGATTTACTGATGTTGGAGTACTGAAGGAGACGGGCCCACTGCTCCGGCATGCCCTGGATAAACAAACAAACAAACACACACACACACACTCATTGAAAAACATATACGTCTACAGAGATCGAGCCATTAAACAAAGAAAACAAAAATAAGACACTATGATCTGAGGTCATGCACCCAGATGGAACATGTTCCAGTAGCCAGGTGTCAACTTTAATAAGATAATTGGTAGCGTTCTTATTCAGGAGTCCATCCAATATCCCAACAGTTAAAAAGCAAAAAGACATTTGTTAATCACCAGTTTTCCAGCGTTGAACTATTACAATTTTAAGAATAAAATCTATATACTCACTTTGCATTCTGAATGACATAAACGTTAGCTTGCTTGAACCACAACTGATGCCAGAAGAAGATTTCTGGGTTAAATGATGCATGTGTAAAAAGGATTCACATACGTATGCTCAGGTTGCCCTTGCTGGATTCACTAATACAATGACAATGTAACAACAATGGCAATAATCTTATGGCACAACTACAGCTGTAATTTAAAATCTAAAAATAACTTTTCTGACAGCGAAACAATTAATCATTTCAAGCCTGTTGCACCAGCTTGTCATGAGTTGAAACTTGGCTTAGATATAACATGGGTTTATTAAATGGAGATTTACACATCACTAAATTAAAACCTGTTAAATAAAAATTATGTTTAATAATGAAGTAAGCAGGGGAGATTTTAAATACGTCATATTACTGAACGTTAATGACCAAATTGTTTCAGCTAAGTTAGCAGAAATCGATATTTCCCCCTCTAAACTACTCTAAAATACTAAACTGTGTGAATACTACTAACTCTCCAACATAACGTCATTTACAAAGAATTGACAGTTCATCAATGCATTGTTTTGCCCTGAAAACCAGTTTGTTATATATATGTATATATATACTTACAGTGAACTCTCCAGTGACAGCATCAAAACCCACATGGATGGTGTGTTCAAAGTCCGATGGGGAGGAGATCTCAGGCCTGTCCTTGTCCCGGTCCTTCTTCCTGCCTCCTGCAGGTAAAAGGTCAAGGGTCAAGTGTTTTCGTCACCTACTGCAATTGCATGTGGGTTTTTTTACTGTATGTGTGTCTATGTAAATGTGTGTATTCTCCACATCTCTCACCTTTCTCAGAGGCAAACATGGAGATGATTTTGTTTCTAGACTTCTTCTCCTCTGGTACAGAGGGAAGTGGCCGAGAGTTGTGATTGGCTGACTGGGAGTCCTTGGGTCCTCCTCCTTGGCTGCTCATCCTGACAGGGGGGGCTGGGGGCTTGTCTTCACACACTCCGCTGTCACACATCTACACACACGTACACCTGCAAAAACGGGATAAGACACAAAATGACAATGCATTATAGAATTACAATAACTCTGTCGCTAGTTCAATCACTGGTTCTTCCTGTTTTTTTCATTTCACAATGCTAGCCTTACATGTTAGCCAAAAATGCTACTGAGAAACGGCTGCAAATCAAGTAAAACTTAGTCTATTACGCAGAGAAAGAAACAACTGAACAACAAGTTAAGAAGAACTCACGCCAACCTAACTAATCCATCCATGCCACAATCTGTGGGACAGCACTGAGAGTTGCAGCAAAGGGAACAGAGAGTGTGAACAGGAAGCAGCGCTGAACGGGCAAAGTGACGTGTTGAGTCTCGTTCACTGTTACAAATGAATGAGGAAGGAAAGGAGGCAGAGAGAGAGGCAGAGACAGAGAGACAGGGGGGAGTGTCTTCGAATGACTAAGTGAGTGTATGGTATGACTACCGGAGTTAAAGGGAGAGGACTTAAGAACAACTCAGTGAGAAGGACTGGAAGAACTGTGCTGGGTAGTGTGAAACCTCAGAAGCATGATATAGACAATCAAGTACTGCACTTAAGTGCAATTTTGAAGTACTTGTACTTGACTTGAGTATTTACATTACTATGTGCTCTATGTCTGCTACATTTCAGAGGGAAATAATCTAATTTTTACTCCACTTATTTATTATGACTTTAAAACAACATATGATAAGTGTATATATTATCGTTATATACTAAACCAGTGGTTTCCAATCATTTTGGCTTGTGATCCCTTACAAAAACAAGCAGTGTTTAGGGTCACATTTCAGATATCCTTAAGTCCTTGAGGCATGTTGTCTCAAAGCTTCTCAGATTTTATCATTTAAATAACACTTTGAGGCCCAAAGAGATTTTTAAAAATCTGACATTTCACAAAAAAGCAGTTCTGAGAAAGGTAAAAAAAAACCAAAAAAAAACCATATTTGTGTAGCAGAATTGTTCTTCATTCCTTTACTATTAATCTTCTCACCACCACTCAGATTTATCTTGTGACCCTTTGGAAGTGACCCCTACGTTGGAAACACTAACATGTTACTTGATATGTCAGTATTAACAAAATAGTAATGTCACATATAATAAATATATCAATAATAGGATAATACTTCTGTGCAAGTTGGATTTTGAATTAGGGGACCTTTACTTATAATGGAGTATTTTAACATTGTTGTATTTGTTTTTCATTTGAGTACTTCTTCCCCCAATGGTAGACACATCTGAGTGTAATCCATTACCCTAATATGGTGAAAACTGAGATTGTAGACACACGTGCACACGCATAAAAAAACCAAAACAAAAAAAAACACTTAACCAAAAGTGCACCTCTTCCAGTCTTGCAGAGAAAGCAGCGCGTTCGTCTCCGAGCTGCAGCCTGCATTCTTGGTGACATCACAGACAGGAAACAGGAAGCAAACAAAAGGTTTCCTTACTTCCTGTGTCTGACCGCTGATGACACAGCGGGTATTAAATGTGTATAAAAGAAGGGTACCAGGCAGGTATGCCTATGACCTCCTTTTCACACAAAATCCTCCTCCTTCGACGGCTCTGCTGATCTGACTCACCTTTGATACTACAACACCACAAAATCAATGAAATCAGGCTCCAGCTGTGCAGATTTCTTGATACAGACTCCTTCCCTTAACACATTAACCAACACACACACAGCATCAGGCCTTTGAAATGATCAAAAAAGCCATTCACACAAGCTGATTTGTCCCATGTAATAACCAAGTCCTCAGGTTGCAAGCTGAAGACACATCAGCACTAGTTTGACTCGAGGCTATATTTTTCCCCTCCCTGAAACATTCAATGTACTGTGATTTGACGCTCTGTTATCGAGGCTATCCCAGCTATCACTGCTGTGTGCTTACTTGTAGTAAGGCCTGTCACACCTCAGATCTTGTAAACTGACTGTAAACTTCAAATTTTCCGATGTGGCGCGAGTCACATCATTATAAAAACACAACCCAATGAGACAGTCCACCCACAGCAAATGAGACACTCCCCTAACTCTCTTTACGCCCCTAAATCTCTTTTCAATGGCTTTGCCTCTTTTACATAATCTGTTAAGTACTCACCTGTTTGTTGCCTCCAATGCGCCTTACAGAAGACAGGTAAACAATGAAAACTTGTATTCCCAGCAAGTGTATGCAGCTCTTTCTCTAGATCATCTGTCTACTTAGCTCTCGCTGCTCCCTTACCCCTCTTTCTCTCCTTTTCAGCCTTCTCAGGGCAGGTCTTAGCAGGCTGCCTCATTCCTCAGTGATCTTGGACTGGACAAGTGTATTCTTGCCCCGGCAGGATAAAATTAAACCTAGTCCAACCTTAATGTGCATGTTTAAAGTCTGTGTGTGTGTGCGTGTGTGTTGCCAAGGCTTAGACAAGTTGTCTCTCAGTAGGAATTCCATTGCTACAGGGCTGCAGGGGTTGGGCGTGTACTCCCGTTCATGTCACACATCTCACAAACACACACACACACACACACACACACACACACACAAACAAGGCTCCTCCTCATGCAGGCCCGTCTCACACACACGCATTCCCTGCCCTAAACACACACTCCCTTTGCCAACAGGGGCTCCATTGTGAGCACTTGAACTTCTTGTAGCTCCGGGCTACTCTTACTGAGCGCCCGCAAAAAGAACTTTGAGGGGAGCGGGCAGGTGCACACATCAGCGCTGCAGGCCACGCGCTTGTTGTTTGTATAACTGCACACTCCCTATTACTGCTGAACAGAACAAGATGAACATGACACATTGATCACTTTAAGTCAGTTTTCAAGAACAAATGCCAAAGATTTGCTAGCTCCAGAAATGCCAACACCAGAAATGTCAACAGCTGTTTGCTGCTGTTCTTAATTTGATGTCATTATGCTATATTTGGATATATAATATCTTCTATAATAATATATCTACATATATATTATATAATATATATTATATATAATCTTAAAATCTGGAAAACCCAAAGGAGTCGCAAGAAACTTTATTTTTGAGTGGTCCCAAAACAATTAACAGAGTAAGAGGGAGTCAAAAACATTTTCTTTTTACACAAAGTGATGTTGATTTTTTTTTTACTTTTTTATGATAGTTTCCCCCTTTCATGAGCAAACCTTAATACTTTTTCATTACTAGGTGAAAATGTGTCGATAGCACCGTAGAGTCTCCAAATTTGTCAAATACTACAAGCTATTGTATACCATAATCTTGTTTACTTTTAGTTTGACTATATAGTTCCTAAAGCTACTCTGATCAAAATGTTTAACAGTGGATCAAATAAATACGAGTAATGTTAAAGTGGCCTCTCATAGTGATGAACTAAGAAGTTCACTACCTCCACTTTATAAGGGGATAATATGTCAGTTTTGTCTTTACAGCTTGTTGAACTTCCCCTAATCGGCCAAAGAAATTCAATGAATGCAGGTTTATATCCACATTTTGGATACATTTATTTAGGTAAAAATACGGCTGCACAGGTACTTATGTGCACTGTAGGTTTGGTTTTGTGAAATTAAAAAAAGGGGGTGTTGTAAAGAATGTGTTGATATCGCTCCAAATTAGGTAATGAATAAGTGTAATTTTGGTACCAGCATCAAAAATTACTTAACCAAACCAAAGAGTATATGTTTAATGTTTAATGATACAAAACAGGGGAAATTACTTTTCACATTTGAGATGCTGGAAACAGCAACATGCTTAAAAAGTCTCTCAAATAATCAATCGGTCAATGGACTAATCAATTTAGTGAGTAATCATTTCAGCTATATTGATGTGGTTACGTTCCTTTTCTGTCACATGCCTGTCTCTATGCTTTTATTATGCCCTCCAACTCTGCACACATGGTTACCAAAAAGATCATTTTGCATCCAGACAACATCCAACTGCATCTCTCAGCTGCTGTCAATTCACAGAAACTCTCAACTTTCATCATCCCTCTGCCATTTGTAGTTTCTATTCCTCATTCTCTGCTCTCGCTGCATCAGAGCACTTTCTATTCCCTGTGGCAGGCCGCCATCAAGGGAAGCCCACTTCCTTATCCTGGAACTCCCCGAGCCGCAGAGGGTCACAGGACCGGGCCGGCCTACCAGAACGCAGCAAACACAGCCGCCGAGCTGTTTACAGGAAGTGGACAGCAAGCCTTTTGTATTCAGCTTCTATAAAAGGAAATTCTGCGGAGGACTTCCTGGAAGGAGTGATGAAGCCGAATATCACACACACACACACACACACACACACACACACTTTACCCACCTCTAAACATACAGATATACACAGACAGACATAAAAACACGCACATGTACTATACACACACACTCTCTCTCTCTCTCTCTCTCTCTCTGTCTGAACTCACTACAGTCACTTCACTGATTATAGGTCTGGTAGTGACTGAAGCGTGAACACACTGCCCAGCTGCACACCCACACTGAACACCTTATCCTGTTATTCAAACAGCTGCCTCACCCCTGTGTCAACACTGGATCAAAGTCCCAGCTCGCTGTCAGAACTTAACTCTGCAATTTGGACCAGGTACAAAACCAGCCTCACGATTCACAGTGGACGTCTGTTCGTCTCAGGGCCTATGAATGACTAATTCAGTGTACCTGCAGGATCACCAGTCCGGACTGAAAAATCACAGACATTCACTCGTGCAGAGTTTGCAGGCAAGTCAAGACTTTAGAAATCCAAAGGCCCAAACTCCCCCAGTGAAACCCACACTGTGGTAGCTACGTTTCAAGGAAGCAGAGGTGGAAAGCGACTAAACTTGGGTAACATTTACAGAATTCTTCTAAATGCTTCTGCTGTAAGCCAGATTACCGCATCTCGTGGTCAAAAAAAGACTATGACATCTCCAAATGGGATGATTTCCAAATGCTGAGCTGAAAAATATAAATGAAACTACAATGAAAACATAAACAGCTATGTCCTGTCTCTACATAAACATTATACTATATGGATGTTGTACATTGTTTTATTGTAACTTTAAGTTCAATTACATTTTATTAAACCAGCTTCTGAACTGCTTGCCAGATATTTAGGCCCATTTAAGACTCAAGTGGCTGCTATGTACTGCAGATGTTTTGTATTAACCTCGCGTTATTAAAATACTAGTGTCCCTGTAGACTGTCATTACTTTGAATTAAAAAGAAAGCAAGCCACAAATCCCATTTACACTAGGATCTGGATCTCTTGCGGTACTTTCTTTTTATACCCTTAAGAGACAGGATGAGTATCTCCTCAACAATTATGGAAGAACTCAGTCTGAATGCTTCCTGTGCCAAAGAGAAAAGTTAGTATTAAGCAAACTATTACCAAATAAGCAACGTGTATGTAAGACTGACTGACCGGCTGTGTTGAATGAGCGAATCTAAACTCACCGGCTGCTGTCAACCGCAAAGAAATCAAACGCACTCCAGCCACACAGCCGAAACTCCGCCCCGTCTGTGTTGATTTTCAGTCCGTTAAAGCCCAGATTTGACGCTGAGATTTCACAAAGTTCCCTGGGGATGAGAAAAAAAGTCTTTCGTCTTTTATTCTTTCTTTTATCGTTGACACACTTTATTCCTCTCTTTCCCAGACTACTCTCAGACTGGCCTTTTCCTTGGCCCGGGGAGGAGCCTGGCGGAGAGGAAGCGGAAAGTCGTAGTAACAAACCGGGGAATCGGAACTTCACGGCTTCCGTAGCGTTCATTGGGCAAAAGGCAAAGAGCGCGTAAAACGCAATCCGCAAAACGCTGCGGTTCCCTGTCTGCACTGCGTCGGCCTGTAAAAGTGAACGGAGACAACACCGGAAACAAGGTGACTTTTATTTCAAAATAAAATATATATAAAGTCAACATTACAGTCTGCAACAGATGATCATTTTCATTATTGATTAATCTACTGGTTATTTTCTTGATTAAATGATTAATTGTTTGTCTGTACAGTGTCAGAAAATAGTGAAAAATACAGACAGCATCCTAGAGCGCAAGGTAACATTTAGATTGCTTACTTTGTCCGTCTAACAATAAAAAACCTAAAGATATTCAATTTACAGTGATGTACAACAGAAAAGTACATTTGAATGCTGCAACCAGCAAGTACTGCATTTTTGCATGAAAAGTAACTCAAACAATTCATGAATTATTTATTGCCAAGTAATTTTCTGCCCATCAACTAATCAGTATATCAACTAATTGTTGCTCTAGTAGACTAAGTAGCTCTATAAATTTCAGAACACTAAACTGATTGTGCAAAGCATGTACCCCATGTGTTATTAGGGCCAGCAAAAGCTGATAACAATTGACAATTGACAATTAAATATCTGTGACTACTAAAATGTACTAGATACAAATTCCAATGCAATGTTCAACTGTTACATTAACAATATTATGTCAGTCCCTACAATGCATTTTTTTTAAAACAACACATTTTAGCTGCAAATATTCAGAATGATAAAAATTCTCCAACACCCAACTCATAAGAGGCATGATAGAAGTGTGTCATTTAACTTGAGTAATTTGAACTATTTTCAGCATCTCTGTTGCTCAAAAGCTATAGGGTGGCCTGGATAACATCATTACAGGCCACTGCTGCTATTTACAAGCTGTGGAAATGACAGCAGTGACTATATTTTTAATAAATATGTATTTATATTTATCATATATATACACTATATAGGCATATTTAAACTATACTGTTTATAGTTTAAATATATATTAAATATAAACAGCAGCATACGACTGTCATTTCAGAAAAAGAAAAGTGGATCAGTATCACATTTTGTGTAAAAAGTTTATTGTTATAACAAGATTTTTTTCACATTTTTATAAAATACAAATTTATCATGTTTTAACAAGAAACTTTTCTTTTAACAATAGGCTATACTATTGATCTTGTTATAGCATGTAACATTTTATGTTATAACTTGATAACATACTGCAACATAAATTTCAACAACATAAAATTCCTCGCATTATAACATTTCAACATTCTTATTATAACATTATAACATTATTGTTATAACGTTATTTTCATGGAAACTGTATATTTCCCGGTGGAGTATTGAGCAAATAAAAGAATTACAACAACCGTTGTCTTTTAGTATTTATTAAAGGAGAAAAGAACATAGAAGTACTCATATAATCATCAGCTCGTCCAGAGACCTGCCACTTATGGTACCATCGAGCGTCTGGCCCAGAGGGATGTATAATCATTTAGACAGTTCAGGCAGTCCTCACATAATGAGAATAATAATAAGAAAAGGTTAAAGATAAATATTATAATAATAATAGAGATAGATTCAGTGTAAGAAGAAACAATTTTCTGCCATTACAGCTATAACAATATAAGTTTTCATGTTATAAAGAGGTAGTTTTGTATGTCGTAATAACGCAAAAATATATTTTTATGACATGAAAAACATCTAGTTATAACAATTTGCAGTTGCAGCGTCATAGCAAATTGTTACAAAATAAGAATTTATTTTGAAGGCTACTACCGGAATGTCAAGACTAACTGAAGCTAATTTGATACTTCCTGCTTTACAAAACATCAGTAAGTACCACAAACATCAGCAACGGCTACGCACCAGAAATCATTTTCTAAAAGTCGACAACCGCCAAGGGGAAGAAAATTTGTACGGAAATGATAATTGCAGATAAACCACACAATTTGTCTGTAACGTTAATTATTTATATAGACTCATTACTAGACAAGATAGCGAACAACCAGCTAACAGCCGTTATATTAACTCAAAGCAACACTTAACGCTAACGTTAGCTGTCGTTAGGATTAACGTTACCGTTAAACATGTAGGTTAGCTTGCAAGCGTTAGCTCAGAGAGACACGGGTCACTCACTTGACTGTGTCTTTGCTATTCCAGCAACATTTAACATTAAGCGTTAGGTATATGTTTATGCTAGTTTCCTGCATAGAAGCTTTTCCTGTAACGTTAAATTATCTAACGTTATGCGCACCTAAAGGACAGTCTTATGGGTCAAGTTCAGTTGAAGCAGCTGTCTGCTATCTTAACGTGTTTAATTATTTTTGTCTGTGTGTATGTGTGCTCCAGGTGTCATGTTTTCCCGCAGGTGGAGGTTTGGCTGGGACAGGTACAGTGAGGTGGACCTTTTCACAGACCGCCATGAGACCAGTGCAGAGACCCTGTCCCAGGCCATCAGAGCTGCAGCGTCTGAGGAGCCGGACTCGGACGGCAGTGTGCTGTTTGGCCATCTTAAGGGCACTGTGGTCGGCCTCAGATATTACACAGGGGTGGTGAGGATCAACCAGGGTCACTGATATTCCCTTAGTGCACTGATTCCCAAAGGAGATAAAACACAGCTGATATAGGTTGAGAATCCTTAAATCATCTATGTTTTACAGGTGATTCTAGGGGAAATGGTCGGTTTGGTGCGACAGCCTCAGAATCCATATGACCGCAATGCCGTGATGGTCAGCAACATTTATGGCAACCAAGTGGGTCATATAAAGCGGGAGCTGGCAGCAGCTTTGGCCTACGTCATGGACAACAATTTGGCTAAGGTAGAGGGGTGAGTAGATTGTTATTGGCCTGTCAGTGTCACTCCCTCCCTTACCCCTTTTTCATACTTTGTGTGATTTTGTGTTTGTGTTTATCATTGTCTTGTTGCTGACTCAGGGTGGTGCACTCAGGGACGAAAAACTTGTTCAACATGCCGGTGATGCTGTCCTTCTGGGGGAAGGAAGAGAACAAAAATGCTGTGATTGAATCCATGGCACGTCACGGATTTAAACTGAACAGCAAACCAACAGGTACACACGCAACCATCCTATCTTGCTTGCCTCCTGATGGGAAAACCTCTGACATTTATCCATGCAGCGCACACGTTGTTGCAGTTGTCAGTATTCATATTGTCATTGTCATTAACTTCACTGTTTATTTTTGTGTGTGTGTCTGCGTGTGTTGGATTTCAGGTGCGAATGAGAAATCATATAAAAGTCAAGGTGCTTGGGCATCGCCATCTAAAAAGGGTTTGACCATCCCACTAACCGCACAGGAGGTAATCAGCTTCCATTTAGTTTATGTAATGTCTCACAGACCTTTATACAACATTTAAAAAAAATTAAATGTCCATGTCATCTACAGCCAGTGAAGTTGATTCCTTTTTTTCCTTTCAGCTAAAGAATGCTTTTGACAACCTTTTTGAGGACTTGATGGAGAGTAAAGATGGAGAGAAAGAAGCAGCCGAGGTGTGTATTTGATCTATCTGTTTGTCTGTCTGAATTAATCTTGTATTTCTTACTACTCTCCTAACACTTATGTCAGGATGTTTCTTATTGTTTTTAACCTCTTTCTTTAGTATGTTGACAAAGTGGAAAACAGTGTCCAAAAGTCTGTTTTACAAGAATTTTATTAGAGCCATTCAGCTTAGACACCTACTTCATCTCTTGCTTTGTGATGCTGATTTTAGAAATTGAAACCTTTTCTATTATTTGGCACATTGTAGGTCATTGTAGATCAGCTAAATATCAGAAAACTTTGACCTCAGTTTATTTCATGTTGCAGTTTTCTGGAGAAATGGCTTCTCACCTCCTAGTTGTCACCTTCTTGCTTCCTGATAAATAGTTGTTTTTGCTTATATCTATCAGCGTCTTAGTGCAGCTTTAATGTGAACATCCAGCTCTCTTTCTCTGCAGTGTGTGGGAACTCCTCTCCTGCCTCACCAGAAGCAGGCGCTGTCATGGATGTGTGCTCGAGAAAACAAATCTGTACTTCCACCCTTCTGGGAGAAGAGAGGTGAGCTGTACTATAACAGCCTCACATGTTTCTCTGCCAAAGAAATACCAGAGAGAGTTCGTGGGGGAATACTGGCAGATGACATGGGACTGGTGAGTAACACACACACACAGTATATACAGGTGAAACTCGAAAAATTAGCATATCGTGCAAAAGTTCATTTATTTAAGTAATTCAACTTAAAAGGTGAAACTAATATATTATATAGACTCATTACATGCAAAGTGAGATATTTCAAGCCTTTATTTGATATAATTTCAAAATCTGAGAAAATTTGAATATTGTGAAAAGGTTCAGTATTGTAGGCTCAGAGTGTCACACTCTAATCAGCTAATTAATCCAAAACACCTGCAAAGGGTTCCTGAGCCTTTAATTGGTCTCTCCGTCTGGTTCTGTGGAATTCACAATCATGGGGAAGACTGCTGACCTGACAGTTGTGCAGAAAACCATCATTGACACCCTCCACAAGGAGGGAAAGCCTCAAAAGATAATTGCAAAAGAAGTTGGATGTTCTCAAAGTGCTGTATCAAGGCACATTAATAGAAAGTTAAGTGGAAGGGAAAAGTGTGGAAGAAAAAGGTGCACAAGCAGCAGGGATGACCGTAGCCTGGAGAGGATTGTCAGGAAAAGGCCATTCAAATGTGTCGGGGAGCTTCACAAGGAGTGGACTGAGGCTGGAGTTACTGCATCAAGAGCCACCACACACAGACGGGTCCTGGACATGGGCTTCAAATGTCATATTCCTCTTGTCAAGCCGCTCCTGAACAAAAAAACAACGTCAGAAGCGTCTTACCTGGGCTAAAGAAAAAAAAGTC